TGTGAATAAGCAACTTTACATGTATGTAAAGTTCATAATTCTGGAATGGTGGTCAAAACATCACCGAGAAACGAATATTTGACTATCATATTTCTGTCTTAGCAATGCTCATTCCAGCATCGCAGATATTCATTGAGCATAGCTCAGCAGCTAATATTCTTATTGATTTATTGAGTGATATTGCTGCTCATCTTCAACAGTATTTATCGAATGGTCTTATCGAAAAATTTGACCTGCGTTATAAATGTTGGGCATTTCTTAAAAATCATCACAGCTATTCATCAATTGAAAAAACAGATAAAATGGATAAGAATATTGTCGATTATTTTCTTCATATACTATTAAATAGTATCGGTGTATTTGCGTCACAAGATGAAAATATTTATGGCTTTCTTTATTCATCATTTCAAGAATATTTTACATGTTTGTTTCTTATTCAATTATCTAACGAAAACGACGAAGAAATTTCAAGAATTGATCTAGAGAAAAATCGATTTTTGCATTATATTACAAATCCAACATTTCGTGATCCACTTCTGCTTGCTCTCGAATCGATCAGTTGGCAATAGGATTTGTAAGATTTTGATTCTTTCTGTCGTTTACTTGCTATTGGCGATGGAGATCGATTCAATAAACATTTACCATTAGGTGCAATGTTACTTATGTGCAATCTTACATTATTCGACTGATAAAACATTATGTGATGTGTTCGATCAATTTATCTCAGTAAGTACTGATCTAGAATGGCTTGTTCGTTTTTCTATTTTTGTTCATCACTTCATCGAAAGTTTGAACAATATGCCATCGAAAACTGCCATCGATTGGTTGTTTAATTATTTCGAATCACTTTCCAATATCAACAATAGTCGTGGTGTAGTCAGCGTTTTATTAGAATATATTTCCTATACACGACAAATCCTTTTATGGATGATCGATAAGACTGGTGAAAAGAATATCTGTATAAGTTTACAAAAATTTTCAATAGTTGATTATGGTCAAGATTCTGGAGGCAATGATCTTTTTGTCATCGATCGCCTTCTGACAACTATTTCAATAATCAATCCAAATTTATGCGTACAAAGATCTGTAAAACAAGATAATATTGATATTAAGACTTTACCTCCTATTCTTTTAGTCATCCTCATTGCTCTTCATGGGGGTTTATATCGTTTTAACCAGCCGGATTCTGACAACAAAGTTACTGTTATTTTTTCATTATCACATATGCATCGTGATTGTTCACAATCCTCATGGTTGATTAATTATTTAAATGCAAATAATTTGACTCATCTACCTGACATTCAAAACATCGAAGAACAGATTAGTAAGATTTCTTGTGAAGATGATTCTCCAGAAACGATCGATTTATTTATGATCTGGCTATGTGTAACTCATTTCGAAGAATATCAATGGAAAAATTGTTTCTTAGGATTTCTATGTCTTGGTACGATTGTTCAAAGTGTCAGAGCATACTTTTATGAAGTCGACAGGATATTTTCGAACAGGAATGGACCATCTCAATTCGATTTTCAGTTAACGACGAAATAGTCAAAGAAAATACGTTGCATACTGAACTTTTCGACGAACGACGACGAGCAGGAGAAGTACAAAATATAACCGGAAATAATATACACTTTTATCAAATATCAATCTCACTCACTGTTTTATGTGCTGCTTTGTATGAAGAAGGATATCAACCGCATGAAAGTGCTGATGAAATAATGTTAACTGTACGACTTATTACAGAACCTATTCTTCGTTTACATACATTAACTATGATATGGCAATTTTCACAAGGCTATACAATGGAAAACAATATTCTTGATTGGATATCGGTGGAAGCATTGAATGCGTTGTCTGCGGAACATCTACTATCAGTGAATTCTTATACTCTACTTTAACTGATCCGGTGGACTACATTTGCTAATCTTGCTGACATACGAACTATTTATTACTAGAGGACTGCGCGATTACAATTACAAAATATAAAGTTCATACATTGCTATTATCTGTAGAATTAAGAATTCCAGAATTATGAACTTTACATACATGTAAAGTTGCTTATTCACACTCATCCTCACCCTCACCCCCACATTTATCCCTAGAATTCAGAATTTCAGAAAATTCTGAACAAGTAAAGGTCAACTTTACATACATCTAAAGTTCATAATTCTAGAATTCTTAATTCTGCAGATAATAGCAATGTCTGAACTTTACATTTTGTAATTGTAATCGCACACGTCTGTATTACTATGTCAATCGATTGAGTGATTATCTTTTTTTTTCGAAAAAATAATTTTCTTCAAATTTTCATTGTAAATTTAAATTATAAAAATTTAACTTTTTTAAAAATGAATGTTTTTTGAGCGTGAGAAAGTCATCAATCATCAAGATGGCATATGTTTCATTTTTGTAAGCGGTTGACCTAAAACCAAGCGTTGAAACCTTGGGGACTTAAAGGGTTAATAATAGATGCTGATTAAAACAATTTTGTAGTAGTAGTAGTAGTAGTAGTAGACGATAATTCATAATCATCACAATTCAGTATCATGGACGAACTTCGTCCCTGTGATAAAAAAAAGAAAAACATATAGAATAAACAACAAACGAGACGCGCACATATACGAATCTAATTAAACAGCATTACACAAATATTTTTATTACAATTATAATAATTTAATTTATACTAAAAGACAAGATAGATAAGAGATCATAATAGCTCAGTTGGAAACAAATAACATAGTCAAACAAGGAAGGCTTGTGTTCACAAAATAGATTAGTAATTTTTTTACTCGTTCTGCCTTTGTTTACAATTGCTCTTTTAGCTTTTAACAATAAGGGATTATGGTAGTATTCATACATATATAACAAGTACATTTTGTGTTGCAGGAAATATCACAGATGGATTTATTTGAAGAATAGTTGAAATAAGTTTAGACCAGTGAATTTGAGTGAGCTCATCCATCGATTTGTACTTAGGTAAATTTGAGATTTCGACATTTGGTGCATCACAGCGTGAGGGCCCAAAAAAGCCTAGTCGTTTTTATTTTTGACACATATTTAAAAAAGTACAAATAAACGAATTATTTATATTTGGTAATTATATCACCATCATGGTCGATTATTGTTTGCAATCGTTTTGTATATCCAGCAATGTGATTTTTTCCAATATTCTTGTATTTATCTGATTTCCATATTTGTGGAATACTGAACAAAATAAAAATGACTAGGCTTTTTTGGACCCTCACGGTACCAGTGATGAGCTATTCATAACATTCACTCAACATTCGACTGGACGAGAGACGTTTAATGACAGAAGAGTTTTTCCGAATTTTCGACTCTATATAATCAAGATGTGAAGTAAACGAGAGTTTATAATCAAAAATAGTACCAAGATTTTTAACTTTAGTAAGATGTGAGATAGTATGTCCGTCACAAATAATGACAGGAATGACAGGAGCAACTTGACGATGAAATAGGGTCCAGAAAGTCTTTTGAAAACTGATAGGTTGTTTCCAAGTCGTAGAATAGGAGATTAACGAAGAAACAACACCTTTAATTTGCTCAACAAGATTAGATATAAGAAGTCGGGACGACCAAGTAGCAGAAGGAGAAACAAGAACAGACAGATCGTCCGCGAACAAATATTTCCAATGTAACTAACAGAGAGATACAATTTAACAAATCATAATGATACCCAATAAAAAAAATCGGATCTAAACATGAACCTTGCCGCACACCTTTGAACAGAAGAAATATACCGGATTTCGTTTCCTTTATTTCGACATATGCTGACCGTCCAGACAAACATTTTCTTAACCAACCTATCAGATATATAGGGCAACCCAAAGGATGAAGTTTGAGCCATAGACCCTTGTACCATAGTTGAGTAAAGGCTGCTTTAAAATCGACAAACAATGCTGCCGCTGCAGTATTTAAAGATAGACTCTGACCAATCTGGTCAATAATTGAAATTAGACGGGCTGCCATATTGTGACCGGGACGAAATCCGGTCTGTTCATCAAAAAGAATGCCGGCAGCATTTATCCATTGACGAAAATGAACAAGAAAAACCTTTTCATACAATTTAGAAAAGCATGGCAGAAGAGAAATAGGACCTGTGTCACTAACATCTACAATATTTGTTTTAGTTTTTGATAATAAAATCATTTTAGTAGTTTGCCAGTGCGAGAGACACACACAAATGCAAAAAAGAATAGTTAAAGGAAGGATAAATAAATGAATGATGATGAGACCGTGGTAATAACTTGATAATTTTATTAAAAACTCCATCTAGACCAGACGAATTTTTATTTTTCAGAGATGAAATTGCTTTTGTGATGCTCTTTAATTTGATGAGAAAGGCTGCTGGTTTACTGTCCTTGATTCCGATCTCAAGTTCATTATCCACGATCTGAGCGTCCATTTCGATGGAAGAAAAAGTATTTACATGTTCAAAAAACTGTTCTTCGTAAAACGATTTGGCTAAATCACACATTTCACTCGGTGAAGAAATAGCAGAACCGTTTGATGAATGAAACCTTTGAATAGGTGAAGAAGATACCGAAAAATATCTTTTTGTTTTTTTTCAGAATTGTTTTATATCACATTCATTTAACGTTTTACAATACTCACCTCATGATAATCTCTTATAAGCAAACATTTCCCTCCGTATCGTTGTTGAATATATTTTTAGTTTTGTGATGAAAAATGGATGTTTTGTTTTTCTAACAAGGCATAAATATATTTATTTTTGTTGTATCAAATTTACGATATGAGGAGGATGTGACGGCCTGTAAGAGTTACAAAAGGATACATATGTAAGGCATGATAACAGTAATGATAGAAAACGTTCATAGATACAAAAAAATTGTACAGTGTCTTTCATAGTAAAAGATAAATTGTTTCAGACGGAAATCGTAAACGCTAAAGACAATTCAATTAGCACCCAATATGTCCGTTTTACAGGATAAAAATAATCTCTTTTTAACAATTTAACGACAGGTGTCCACACGATAAGAAAGTGGTCACTACCCATAAACGGAAGAAAACAGAACGAAGATACGATTGATATCATCTGCAAAGGAGCTAGAACAAGATCGACCGTTGTACTTGATCGAGTAGAAGTAGGAATATATTTATTTACAATTTCAAGAGAATTAGATGATAACCAGTTAAAAAGAACACGACCTTTTTGATTTTTAGTAGAGTTTGATCACGACAGGTGTTTAGCATTAAAATCACCGACTAAAATCGTATTACAATTTCGTTTTAAAATTTGATCAAAGAGAGAAAGAGGTAAGTATTCTTTTGGAGGAGAATAACATGTAGCTAGTTGAAACTTATCATATGACACACCTATATCAAGAACAAGAACATTTAAACATTTTTGAAATACATCAACACATTGGACCGGGCTAGAGCGATGTACAGCTATTAACACATCTCCACAGCCATTTGTTTCTTTTTGACAAAAAACATTATAATTGCCGAAATATTTTGAAAAAATCATAACAGTTTCACTACTTTGATGCGTACCATTCAAAGCAATGATTGAACAGAGAACATTTTTTAATAAGAGAAAAACATCAGGTAAGTGCAATTATTAAAACAATTTAGTCGCATCAAATAATACCGGTTAAATGTACAAACCAACTAACGAGGGAACGTTTTTAAGTGCCCTCTCGCTTTTTCTACGAAACCTAGTGGGTTCTAGGTTATTGATGATGCTGATTCCTAATATGAATATGACAGCTGCCCTTAGGGCTTCAAAGATCCGGTTTTCTTGAAAACCAGTTTTTCAGAAACTCTAAAAAGTAATCAAAACCTTTTCTTAATAATGCATGATTGTAGCCTACACAATTCTGATTAAAATGAGACATCTCCCAACCCTACATGACTTTTCTTTGTAAAGTTATAGAATTTACAAGCAAAGCCTTAAATATTCATTGTCAGCTCAAAGCTACAGAAATAAGAAATTAATTTAGGGATTTTCTTGTAAATTCTATAACTTTGCAAAGAAAGGCCATGCAGAGTTGGGAAAGGTCTCATTTTAATCAGAAATGTGCGGGCTACAATCATACATCATTAAGAACAGGTTTTGATTACTTTTTCGAGTTTCTGAAAAACTATTTTTCCAGAAAACTGGATTTTTGTAGCCCTAAGGGCAACTGTCATATTCATATTCGGAATCAGCGTCATCGATAACCTATAACCCACTAGGTTTCGTTGGAAAAGCAAGATGGCACTTAAAAGTGTTCCCTCGTAAGTCATATATAGTACAGAAAAAAATATGTGGATATATGTTCTTTCTGTTGACTACAATAGTTCTATATTTTTTTTTCAAGCAGATTAAACAATACTATACTCAATTTTCTGTCCAATCCAGTCACCGGTAAATGAATTCACCGATACTAAATTCACCGACTAAAACACATGATATTTGTATGCTTTGATTAACTCTTTTGTGCATATACCACAAATAGCTGTAAGTAAAACTTAGAAGTGAAAGAAACTTAAAACTACAATGATGAATGCAAGAAATAGATGATTCCAGAAGTATCTAACGCTGGATAAATCTAGTATTAGCTAAAAATTGATAGCAAAGATATTGATAGCAAAGTTGTCGTTTCAACTTGAAATATCCGAGCATTTAGCTACAAAGATAAAGTCTGCCATAAGGATCAGAGATCTGTTTTTCAAGGAAAACGTAGTACACGGTGTGTTTGGAGCGTTAGCATAATTGCTGAATGAAGTCCGATTATACAGTCGGTTCGACTCCAGATTCTACAGCACTGTATTCAACATACAAATTGATTCATTCATAGTCTGCATTATTTTGCTGTTCAATTTAGTAGTCTAAATTTTAATAATACTTTAAATATACATTGTCCTGATCTAG